GTGGAGATTTACTGTGGTGCACTCACATATATATAAAACTTATGTCAGATTCAATCCACTGGCTTTCCTATTCCTTTCCCCCTCCATTCCCTTTATTCCATTTTGTCTAATCCACCTTGTTCCTTTTAATGAAGAATGGTGTTTAGAAACCAAGGTCTTAATGTTAGGTGTGCTGTCCGTGTGCCAGTGTTCCTCAGCTCTGTCAGCAAAATGAGCTAGGAAATAGATGTATACAAATTTGTTTACCCATTCAAGTTGATACTTATTTCTGTATTTATTTGTAAAATATAGATATTCATATTTCTATTTTAAAAGCCATAATTGATATAGATTCTTCCAACACCTATCCAAAATGCAGGATTTATCTTCACCTTCTTTATTTGTAAATTCTTTTCTGATAGTGATAAATCTGGCACTCCTTATCTGGCATTTACATATTTGTTCAACTCTGTACTCATGGAATGATAGATATGTAAATCCATACCCCTGCAAGGAACAAAATAGCTTTAAGTATGTTTTTGTGTACAGTTCTTTTAATTAATTTTTTTTTTTAGTTGTGGATGGACACGGTACCTTTATTTTATTTATTTTTTAAGTTGTGCTGAGGATAGGCAAGTGCTCTGCCACTGAGCTACAATACCAGCCTCTGTACAATACAGTCAGAAAAATTTGTGAAGGCTTATATTTCATCTTGGTAAACCCCACTCCAGTTCTGGTTAATCTTTTTTTAAAAAAAGATCCTATGCACAATAAAATTTATTTTTGTCTTGTATATTTCTGAGTTTGAACAATTGCATAGTCATGGTTATACCTCCAAGTTCATGAGACATAATACTTCATTTCCTGAGATGCTATGTTTTGGAAGATACTTAAAATTCACAGGAAATTTTTGTGTGAATTTCTGTGATATTCTCATCTGGTGTATATATAGTGAGATTAAGAGAAAAACTTGTTTGAATAGGCAACGTGAATAATAAGAGAGATTTGGAATGAGATTTTACTTCCTAATGTACAATTATTTGATATTCATTGTGGTGCTAGAACATAGTTTTTTTTTATGTTTTAAAGAACTGAAATTTTTCTTTTTAAACAGAAATAATTCTAATCATATAATTATATGTATTTTAAATCTATTTATTTATTTTGACTATTTTTCCTGGCTATTCTCATAGGTATATATTGATATCTCATTATAGTTATAATTTGCCATATATATTTTTATATTTATAAATATTGCTTATATGTATAAACATTACACACACATACACACACACACACACACACACACACAAAGTTTTCTCCTGTATTTTACTCTGTGTCTTTCCTTGTTTCACCTATAAGCAAAATGAAGAAGATTTAGAAGAGAAAAAATTTTATCCTGTTATTGTTTTCTTTCTGGTTAATCTGGAAAGGTTTTCATGTATTTTTATCATTTCTCTTGAACAAGTTGATTTTAATTATATTTGTAAGTAATTAATGATAAAAGACATGGGATAATGGAGACTACATGAAGAAATTTGGAAAATGTTCATTTTTGCCAGAAAATACTGCTAATTAAAACATTGAGATACCATTTTCACTTATTAAGATTGAGGTGTATACATGCATGTACGTAAGAAAGAAAAAAATGGGAATGAATAAGGGGCATTGTAATATATTAATACATTACAGATAGCATTGGATTCTCACACTAATAATGTTTTGTGGCAGCACTGAGTATTCAGAAATGTTAATATTGGATCTGTTGGACAGTGCATGATGATGGACCTTTTTTATCAGAGAGAGAATTTTTTTAATATTTATTTTTCAGTTTTCGGTGGACACAACATGTTTATTTTGATGTGATGCTGAGGATCGAATCCAGTGCCCTGCGAATGCCAGGCCAGCACTTTACCCCTTGAGCCACATCCCCAGCCCAGATGGACATTTAAAAATATATATATATTTTCTAGTTTATCTGTAATAGGAAAACAATATAATTGGACTTCTTTTCAAGACATTCTTTTATTTTCAAGACATAATTGTGTAAAAGTTACATTTTACACAGATTTTTGATATTAAACATGATTATGTACCCTAAAGTTAGAGCACAGTGCTTGCAATCTTTTCTTAAACAAATACAGTGTTGTCTTAGAAGCCAATTATGAAAGTCAAAATTATTTACTTACCTCTACCACTCAAGGTTAGTTGTTTTTGAAAAATTTTGTTTATATTTCCATATTATTATTAAGCATACATAGCAGAACAACCTATACTTAGTGTTTGACTTAGTTTTTTTTTAAGGTTATGTTTTCAAATTATGTGTTCTAAAGAAATCCTCTTCAATACTGTTGGGAGACAATTCTCCATGGATCTCTCCTGTTTCTGCAGATTCTCTTGAGTACAAGCATTTACATGTTTTTTGTTTTGCCAACCCTTGATAGATGGAGATAATGTCTTTCTTAGCTAGAGGGTGGATTTGCTTCCTGCCCAGGAAAATGGAGATAATTTTTTCCTTCAAGGTGGTCTGGCTTGTTTACTAGCAGTCCTTTTAAAAGATTTGGGTTTCCTAATTATTAAGTTCTTCCACTAGGACGTAAAATCATTACTGTTGCATCTTTCACCCAGGCTGCTCTACACCATCCCTTGGAATGTAATTGACAACATGAAGCTCATGTTGACTATTGTGCCATAAGAGATAGCTCTAATTCAGGATATTGTTTCTTCTAGCCCCTATGAAATTATGGTTGGCTTCTTTGATAACTTGTGAGTAAAATCTTTGAGCCAGTATAGTTATTTTATGTTTTGATAGACACATATTGGTGAAATTATGTATTTTTAAACATATTATTGTAGGAATTCAGAGTGGTATGTGTAGGTTATTGTAGGAATTCGGAATGGTGTGAATGTGTTAGATTATTATGGGAGTTCAGAGTGATGTGTGTGAGTATGTTTAATGAGAAAACTATACTAAAATAGTTTAGGAACTAGATTATTTCTTAACATCAGTTCCCTCTCCTTCTATTAATGGATGACCCTGCTCAGTTTCTAGTCTGGAGAGTCTGTCTTTGCATCAGTGGTCACAATTCCTATATATTTAAAATATGAAATTTGGGCAGGGGATGGGGCTCAGTAGTTAAGTGCTCCAGGGTTTACTCCCTGGTACCAAAAAAAAAAAAAAAAAAACTAAACTAAAATATGAAGTTACCTAATGATATTGGCTTGCTGAATTATAGTAAAGAACAGTGATATAATACTTATATTTTTAATAGTAAATCCTATTAAATATATACCTGTTTTCTGTAAATTATCCTTAATATGGAAATTACTCTTGCATTTTTCCACAGATATAAAACTAAGAACAGTTAGTAAAAATTATTTTATGTAGTTCTCATTTTGGGGTATATTAATGAGAAAGAACAATGTCTTCTAAAATAATCTTTATTTTACTTTATTAAGAGGATTATTTTACTTTGAAAATATAGTATGTTCACAGGCAGAATTAACACTCTTTGACAGTTAAATATAACTAAATCTAAGTAATTAGTTTGTTTTGACTTTAGGATCAATTTCTCTTCTTGCCTTTAAAAAACTATGTCATTTAAAAAACTTAATAATCACCCTAGTAATTAGCCATAATTTTTCTTTTTCATGCAGTTAGTATGCCATTGTATGCTTATCTGAATGTTCCATTTCTACAAAATTACTAATTTGAGTACTCTGCTCTTTGGCCAGATTATTTTTCCTCCTCTTTGCCCTCCTATTCCTTTTGATTTGTCTTTTTCCTTTGCTTGGGTGGGTACATAGCACTAAGATGTCTTTTCTTTTCTTTCCTTATATTCATGCCCAATTTCTAAATGATTCATGAGGGAACCAATCCTCACTGAGAGGGGAAGAGAAAGAGATTGCATTTTTCCTGAATTCTGTAGTAGAGCATGCTTAAACTGTGCAATTTAAGCCTTTCTCCTGATCACTAGTATTTGCATGGTTTTGCAAGGGCAGAGAATTTTTCTTATCAGATACAATACTGTAGAATTCTTTCTTAGACTTTTTCAGGTAAAATAAATGATCAAAAGACAAGAGCCTTCTCTATAAAAGCTAGAGTGCTACCTTCTCCCTTTGACCCCATCTGAACAGGATGTGATTAGTACCCCAACCTACAGAATTATATTACTCCCAGCCTCTCTGCGAGGACCATGTTATTCAGTATTCTGACTTTTATCACAGTAGATTAATTTTTCTTGTTTTTGACCATTTATAATTAGTACTATATTTTGTGCAGTTTTAGCTTTGTGTTTATTGAGATTTTTCCTATGCAATTGTATGCAAATATTTTGAAGAGAAATTTATATTCAAATGGAGGCTTCCCTTTTAGACTTTGCTAGTGAGAGTGGTAAAGAGACCACAATTGTTATTAATTTATTTTTTTGTGGTGTTTGGCTGGATTACAGG